GCAACAAAGTCGTACCTATTACGTACAATAACCTGTCTGTAGCCCCGTCGTAATTAATAATTGTGTACCTTAAGTGTATGTCGTAGCCGAGCTGTTACGGATTACTTACTATTACTTCCCTTTTTTTTAAAGTAGTGCTAATTTCAAAGAACACGACCAGACTAAAACGTATACTGTTGAAAAACAAGACTAAATTTGCTAGGCCAAGATGTTAAATATACATAAAAATGTAGGAATGAGTTACAGAGATTGTAGAGTGATACTTAGTTTGTATAAAGAGCAACAGGCAGTTATAGAGCTGGGGTTGCAACGTAGAGAAGTAAATATTAGAAAGGGAGTCAGACAGGGATGCACACTGTCACCGCTACTTTTTAACCTCTACTTCGAAGACGCGATCAACATCATTAAAGACAGTATAACTCTAGGGATAGATATACAGGGGCAAAAGATTAATATGCTTAGATTTGCAGATGATGTTAGTAGTATTAGCATCTAGCAAGGAGTATTTAGGGATAGCTTTAAATAAAATTGAAGCGGTATAGGTGTGTGTTACAGGCAAATGAGGATACCGTAGATAGAGAAGGTTAGAAATGAAGAGGTATTAGAAAGAGTAGAACAAGGGACTCTAGAACACAATACGAAATAGGCGAGATAGGTTAGTAGGACACCTTCTCATGCATCCTGTTCGAAAATGCAAAGATTAGCTCAGGATAGGAAAGAGTGGACGTGCATGTCTACCCAGTCTTAGGATTGACGACCTTATGATGATGATGCTGATTTCAAAATCTGGAAATTAAAGTCAGAGGTAGAAGAATGACAAAACTCCGCCCGTTCATTACAAGAAAGCAACCAAGACCAAAACGTATACCGCTGAAAAATCAGACCAAGACCAAGGCTAAATTTGCTAGACCAAGGCCAACGTTGTATTAGTCTTGTGGTTGCTCATTATTATGAAGGAGAATGTATATCAGAGTAGTAGGTAACTACTCACTACAGTACAATCCACTTAGTCGAATTTGAAGCCAGTCCTGCTTTGGGAAAAGTCTTAAGTAGAATTAGAAGTTCCGATTTTATTTTTATTGGCTATGACGTATTCTAAAATTCCATTATTTTGTGTACGTCAGAATCAATTAGATATTTTCCAGTATGTAATAGTTAATTTAAAATGCCATTTAATTGACTGTGAGCAGTTTTGTAGGTGCCTTCAAGTTGGAATTTAATTTAAATTTTTACTACTCTGTACTTACGTTTGTTTTGTAAAAAAACATGACCTTGACTATCTTAAGTGTTTTGACACGTTTTGATCATTTTAATTTGAGCTTCATGAATGAAACACGAGCGTTGGAGAATTGGGAAGTAAACCTATCATTTGCACAAACATTAATTGAAATTTTACCACACATAGAAACGCATTTTGGTAATATCAGAAGCCTGCAAAGCCAGATATTCTGTGATTTTTTTTCATCAACACAGTATGGTGAACTAATTAATAATTTTAGATTATTGTTTACGATTTGTAAAATTCATCATCATGAAATTAGATACCTAACTTATTAAAATCAGGCTAAAGGGGAGAGTTAGGTCAGAAATTATGCAAAAATGATTGGGACAGAAGGTTGATGTTATTCAATGTGATGGTGATGAGTACGGTGTTTATGGGGTGAAAATAAGAAGATGGAAGGAAAGAAGCAAATAGAGGTTTTATATAAATAATATATTAGAGAGAAGTATGCCAGAAGGAAGACTAGATGTGAGAAGAAGAGCTAAAAAGGATACTAAAATATGTGGAGAAGTTGGGGAGGCTGGAAGAAGGGGATGTCAGGAAGGATATATGAAGGAAGAAGATATTAGAAGTAGGGACGAAAGTAGATATGAGGGAAAGAGGGAGAGAGCTTTGAGGACATTAAAAGTCAACCAGGAGCAGTTGGGAGAGTGGTTTAGGGAAGAAGATCAATAAAGGGAAATTGATGAGGAACAAATGCAGGGAAATGATAAATGTGTAGGATCTAAGTAAAATAGAGGAGCCAAGATATGTAATGGGGCTGACGAAGTTCTGTGGTGGTACTGGGAAGGAGATTGGGTGGAAGGAGGGTAATAGGCGTGTAACATTTTGGATAGGGAGTGAATGTAGAGAATGTAAATATACTGGAAAAAGGAAGAGGATAGACGGTGTAGCATATGTTATAGAGGGGTTGAATGTCTGAAGCATGTGTTAGGGGATATAAAGATAGTAAAACTTAGGAACTTATGTCATGAATTAGTGAACGAGGATGGGGTTGGGCTAAGCTTAATCAAATAATTCACCAGTCAGATCGTAAATCGCGTTGAGTCGTCCGTCGATGTTCTGGAATACGTTTTAGGAAATTCTCGTTGAGCATTTCGTTCAAAATATTCAAAAAAGGACGTAAAATAATGTTGGTTATGTGGCTTTCTGAATTTGCCAAAACACCTTGTTTACATGACACGAATTCTCTGTTAGGATCAAGGAAGAAGGTACAACTTAAAGAGATTATGTGACCAGAAACTTGGTTCCTACATAAAACCCATCATATATTCATAGGCGGTTTCTTTCAATGATTTATTCGTTCCTGTTGCGGAATATAATTGGTAGATTTTTTTTGGTTTTCATATTTTATACTCACCTTATTATTTCTTATATCTAACTTGAAAAAAGTTATACGAGTTACTTTGTTTACTCGACAGTTTTGCTATAGGCCATTTTTTGGTTTGATTGTCCTTAAATTTTACAAAAACAAAACAAGTATTTACTAGGCGTCTAATACGTTTATTTACTTTAAATAGACATATGAGAGGATGGTAAAATTTTCTTTTCAATAAAGGACCTTAAATTATAATGCACAACCAACTTATACTAATTGGTAACTATTCATTGTTGCAACATTCATAATTCATTCACTATTCAAAAATTATGCCGTAATTTAAAATTTAAATTGTGGTTTCACGTGTTGGAAGATAAAAAACTTTTTTTTATATTTAGTTCATGTAAGCGTTAAACATATAGGTAAGCATATATCACACACACAGATGTAAACACACCTACAACCTACATAATATACTTAAACAGCACTCACTCATAGCGTTATACTGAAAGTAAATTGTTTGATTAAGGATTATATATCCTTGACATCCGACAACATTTTCAGATAAAGATGACGGCGTTCGCTGTTTGTAGGAGAAAATGTAAACGCTTGCTAAACAATTCTTGGATATGTTTGTGAGAATATCTAGATACTTTATCTCTTCAGATGGTACGCCCGAAAATGAAATGAATTAGTATCATTGTCTTTCGAAAAAAAAAACTGATAAGACACGAGTAAAGTTTATGCGAGTATTTAACAAAGAATCAAGCTCTTGGACTCGGATCACAAAAATCACAATCTCACAATCTGTATAAACATTTGCGGGTTATCTTAGATATATTTTATGGACTCAAGTCATGAAAATAAAAAATTGGAATGAGAGTAGGGTTGCCATCCGTACTTTATTTTAAAGTGTTGTACTCTATTTCGACTGTGCGTACGTTATACATTACAAGACACATAAAGTACGCAAAACTACTTTATTTAAGGCCTTAAGTAAACATCGTAATTTTGTAAACGATTATTCGAAATTCAGAGTATTTTTGCATCAATAATATTGCACAATACAGTATTTTTGAGAATGTTTCTGTTTCTGAACGCTAGTTTCATTGACAAAGCCATATTTACGGAACAACCTGATTTCCCAAATCTGTTCAAAGTAGTGTCACTTTCCGGCAACTTAAGCATTTACAGAAAGAGTATTCTCTGTTATGAACGCAAAGTGGTGGGACGACAGGAATAAAGCTTTATTAAAACTATTTAAAAATGAACTTTTAGTTTACTTAAACCTTAGTTTTCCATGTATAGAGGCTATTAATGTATTTAAGAGCGACAGCAATTTGTTACTGGCTGCTAGGTGTAACAAAAAATATGTTTTTAAAAACAAAAAATAAAATACTTTATTTTTATGCTGAATACTTTTTTTTTGAACTGTTTAGTCGAGAAATACTTTATGTAAAGCCTGAAAAGGTGGCAACCCTAAATGAGAGATACATAAACTGTATGTTTTAGTTGGAAATAAATAGAAGGTATGTATCTGAGCAGCTTTTTTGGTAAGGGGTCTCAAATTTGACCGTTATGGTTAATTCCTGAGCGGTTTCAATGATCGAGAATTTGATTCCAACTGCTTATAATCTTCCTACATTTAAACATTACTATAGTTGGGACGAAGACGCCCTTGTTAAGCTAGGAAATGCCTTATGAGTAGTACAGACATAACTGCGTGGTTGGAATTATATCGTTATATCGAGTTTTTGCTTTCCTAAATTCCTGAGAATGTTAAACTTTCTCTAATGCCCCATGCTGACAAATTCTGCTGTATCTGTATCTGTTGCACATTAATAGGTACAATGTTATTCCTTTTTCTTATAATATAACTAGAAATTATAAAAATGTATATTACTTACGTTAAGTGTTATAGAAAAATATAATGCCAATTAATGAAACATACAAGGATTTATTAGTGATAATCGATTTCGTTGATTCTGTTACAATTTGAGTAATTTTATTTTTATACAGAAGATAGGTTTTAGAGCCAAAAGCTTTTCCACATTCCGTATAGATTAAACTGAGCTTGTAGCTGTAATATTATAAATTTAACTGCTCATATTTATCTATTTGTTTAAAGACATTTGAAACAAGTTGTTTTACGCATCGACATATGAAAAGGAAATTTGTATCTATTAGAAATTAGAATAACAAGTGAAATTCACCATGTTATAACTCAGTGTTTAGGTAAGTGACGAAACACATATTATTTGCATCTGTTCTATATTCATAAATATAATACAAGCTCAGTTTGATACATCCTTTATACATATTTGTATTTCCTGTATTTTATTATTCGACATTTTTACTTCCAAAACGAAACAGTTACAGCGAAATTTTCTATTGTTTCAGGCAAAACAAGAACGAAAGACAAGTATCGTGTCGTCTACACGGACCATCAAAGGTTGGAATTAGAAAAAGAATTTACGTTCAATAATAAATACATAACAATTCGTCGGAAATCGGAATTGGCAGCTGCGTTAGGTTTGTCGGAACGTCAAGTGAAGATTTGGTTCCAAAATCGAAGAGCAAAGGAGCGCAAACAAGTGAAAAAACGCATGGAAGAAGCAAGACAGAAGGATACAATGGATCCTTTACATCTAGATCAAGACGCCATAAACCAAATTCAACATCAACATCATGCGCGACCGTTTAAGACGGAGATAGTGCACGATGTTCTTCCTTCACCTGTACCTGCCGTCCACTTGGTGTGAGATTACGATTGATATAGTTCTATTGTTAAGAAAAGATAAACGAACCCACGGTCTAGTCTCAATTTCTAATAGGGAGATCTCAATAGCACAAATGTGAATGTTCTTAAAATCAGTGTGAAACTTACTTGTGGTTTGCCCTACACACAAAAGTGCAGTGATATCCATCCATCCGATTACACGTGTTTTATTGAACATTAAATTATTTTTAGTTTTTATATGTACAAGTTATTAAAGGAAAACTCTGGTGCTTATGTTGAGTACATTATACACTTAAATGTATATGATATAATGACAAACTTTTGTCCTAAAAGTGCAATTTCTAGTGCAATCTCGCTTGTAAAGATTAAGGTTATTTTTTATTGTTTAAGATAATTTTCTTCTGAAGAATAGGACGAGATATTCCCGTCTTATACGAGAAGTGTTCATCCCGCCTTATCATTGAACATTTTATTATTTATAAGATCGATAAGTTCTTCATTATTATCTTTTCTTGTGTTGTGATACTTTAAAATAGTTGATTCTCTAGTTTTAAGATATAAAATGTACAAATACACGAATAAACAATTATTAAGTCGTTTAACGAGACTGCTTCTTTATTGTATGGTTTTACGTATACATATACATATGTACGAGGTCGGTTCAAAAAGTATAGCGAATTTTGTTGTTTAAAAAAATTATTTTTTTTATTCAGTAATATCTTTTTTGTCCCCTTCAAAGTAATCCCCACCCAGATAATATATACTTATGGCAAGGGTTTTTCTAATCCTTTCTTTGATCTTGTTCAGCTCCTTCTTCGATGCCGTCTTTATCTCCTCAATCGTAGCCTAGCGTTGTCCTTTCATGACCTCTTCAGTTTTGGGAACAAGAAGTCACAGATCTGAGGAATATGGTGACTCTTAAGTCGACTTCTTAAGTTCCTCGGTTCACTTCATGAAGTTAATAATGCCATTGTTGCTTTTAGGATGACAGTTATTTAACTTAAGATTATTAAATAGTAAACAAACACTACCACCTTATAATATACACATATGGTATGACCTAGAGGTTTAGACCATCGCTTAGCATTCTGGAGGACACCAGTTCGATTCCGGATCCGCCTGCCCTATCCAAGTTTTTTTGTGGTGGCAGTAATATTCCCTATAGTTGGGACCTTCAAAATTGGCATAGTCATCAATAAAACGGTCGCACTTACTTTCTTCCTTCAACTTTTTAACTAGACTAGAGCTGTTGCTAATTAGATAGGATGCCTACTTTTACTCACGACAAACGTTGTAGGCAATGTCGTAAATATAGAGATGTCACGGAGGAATTGCAGCGGACCTAATAAAGAAAAGAGAATAACATTACACCATGTAATGTCTGTAACAGAAAGAGATGCTTCTCAGGAATTTAGGAATACAAAGACGCTTGTTTGAAGACGTAATTCCAACCACGCAGTTATAAAGCCGATCAACTGCTCACTGAAGCAACATTCAACCAATATGGCGTAAACCACGTCCCTAATTAGTTAATAATAAGAAACGGGCGTTAAAATGATTCGTTGTTAACGCATTTAGTAGAATTAATTGAATATTTTAATAAATTACTGATCAGAATTTAATTTGTTCTTTTCATTATTTAGCAGGTGTAGGTATGTGCCAGTCACATATAGGTACAAGCTAAATCATAAGTTCAGTTTGAGGCCTTGTCAAAAACTATGAAATAGTGCAGTTAGCACTAAATATTTACAGATAGCGATTTACTGCTAATTTCTCTTGATATTAATCAAAGCAATATCGATATGTTCTGTAATTTATCTAAATAAGCAATGGTGTACTGATTAGAACTTAAAAGTCACGATCCATATGTGGTTTCGTGAAGTTGATAACCAAGAAATTGATCTTGATTATTATTGTTAATGACTCATTTACAAAAATTGTATGTGTTCTAAAATTTTGAGGTACAAATCAACTCAAATTTTAGAAAATCGAAAGATCATTTCATTTAGTCTACAGCCATCCATTTAAAAAAAACACAAACGTAGAAAAATTACTGCTGAGCAATGCTGATAGACTCGGAATATTTGGTTGAATAAAAAAATAACATAAAACTGCAATGTTGAAGATTCGCAAATTCGTATGCATATATACAAATGTAAACTGGTAAGGTCGTGGCGCCAGCACATTTTAGATGTTCGACGTTATAATTATTACCCTTACTACCACTGTCATTGCGACTCCTACAACTGACACCCCAACGATTGAGTCTATGTTCGTCTGGGGAACGATTTATGCAACGTTTGTCTCGTGTATCTGTTTCGGGGAACAATAACCCAGAGCTTTTGGATGACGTTACTAATTCCGACGCTCTCTACGACAATAATTTATTGTGAAAGGATGAAAAAAGTAGAAAATTTTGCATTTAGCCCTTCGTGACTGCTTAGGAACGTTACTGTTTGTCTTGGCGTTCATATTTATATAATACCGAAGTTAACATTGGGATAATGAAATTTTTGAGAATCAATAAGTTAAATCCTAAATTGATTTTATCATTCATTATCATAAAGTCGTCACTCCTAAGACTGGTTAGACACGCACCTCCACTCTTTCCTATTCTGAGCTAATTTTCGTATTTTCCTAAAATTAGAACAACCCACATCCAAAACTATTTGCGAATAGTAATCTAATCTAGGTCTACCTCTACTCCTCCTAACTCCCGTTTCTGCCTTAAATATGTCTCTGGCTACACCTTCATGCCTGAGAAGGTGTCCTACCAACCTATCTCGCTTATTTTTTATTGACTTCCATAGATTTTTCTGTTCTCCTATTTTTTCTAACACCTCTTCATTTCTAACCTTCTCTATCCACGGTATCGTGATCATTCGCCGGTAACACCACATTTCGAACGCTATTGACCTTTTCTTTTCCGCCGCGCCCACCGTACATGTTTTGCACCTATATAGCGCCGTGCTCCAAACATACATCTTTAACAATCCTTTTCGAATTTCTAGATTAACCGTTCGCGAGCATAGACATGACTTCTTTGTGTTGAAGGCGACTCGACCCTGCGCTATCCTCTGCTTTATATCCCTACTACTCCTTCCGTCCTGATTTATCATTTTCATTTCATTTCTTCTAATTTTTTGTCTCCTATCTTTATATTCACTATTTCCCTACTTTTCCTACCCTTGCAAACCAGTATTTTAGCATTTTTGTTTTACTTTTATTTATTTTCATACAATGCTGTTTTGTGAGTTCCGCTTCCATTTTATTTAAAACTATCTCTTAACTCCTCCTTGCTAGATGCTAATACTACTATATCATCTGCAAATCTAAGCATACTAATCTTTTGAATTTTTCACCCCCGTATATCTGTTCCTACAGTTGTACTGTCTTTAATTATGTTGATCGCTCCTTCGGTGTATAAATTAAAAAGTAGCGATGACAGTGTGCATCCCTGTCTGACTCCCTTCCTAATATCTACTTCTCTACGTTCCAACCCCAGCTCTATAACTGCCTGTTGCTCTTTATACAAACTAAGTATCACTCTACAATCTCTGTAACTCATCCCTACATTTTCAAGTATATTTAACATCTTGTTCCATTTAACATTAATTAACATTATCATAACACCGAAATAATGTTAAAAAATATCATAAAAAGAATGATCATCCCGTCGTTTAAATCAATTGTACAAATTCAAAATGCCCGCCAACATGGTATTTAAATACTAGTTACTTTTGCTACCTCAATGAAACTTTTATTTTAGATAACTTCACATTAATAGATAATCGTGTAACTTAAACATATCTTTAGATACCGAGGAATTAAAGTCTCATGCATGGATTGGAAAAGAAAAAAACTGTAATTGATAACTGACTGTATTTGTTTAAGACAACTCATTATCGAAAGAAAACTGTAAAAATTTACCTATCAGTTCGATATTTTCTATCAACTATAGGTTGTAAATGTGAGGTGATACTATACGTACGGTGGGGAGAAAGTATATGGAGAAATTGTGTATGTCATTGACAAAATTTTTATCACTGCACTATATACGTATAACCACTATTTATAGAAATAATTATACTAAGACATTGCCGTAATGGAAATCTTTTATAATAAATATTGATAATGAATGAAGAAACACCTTGAGATTCATTAACTTTATTATAGTTTTTAGAAACCATTTTGGAAATTATGTAATTTTTAGAAGAGTTCCCCATACAGTTTCTGTATTGAATAAAAATTATAATTATGATTATTTATAAATCTGTCTGTTATATGTATTGTCCTTGCCCCTGCTTGACTTGACTTGGTTACTTCTTCAGATTACAAATATTATAACGGTCTGTAGTCCCTACTAAAAATTCAAGTTTGTAGCGTTAGCTTCAAACTATTTACTTCCAAAAGATGGTCCTGCCCGCCAACTTCTTGGAGATAGAGTAAATAATTATACTGTTAGATTTCCACACATTTTATTCACTTAATATCAACAGCTTCACATAACATATTGTACCATTCAATATAAATAGATAATAAACGACAATATCGAATTTTTGCGGAAAAACAATTAGGGAACCGGTAATACTTACTGTATCTGACTATTTGACTTCTTTTATGACGATTTTTCGAAGTTTTCCACCACTAAAACGTTTATATGCCATTATTTAAAAGAGTCAAATTAGATTGAATCATATTACGATAATGTATATTTATCATGGTGCTGTAGACGGGATTGATGTTTAAAAATTGTTATTATATTTTTGTACTTATAGATACATTTTTTAAACATTCAATCGTGTATTGTTATTTACTAAATTGGTTTGATGTACCAAATTACACCCCCCTCTATCTCTCTCGTTTTCTCCCACTATCAAAATTCAATACATGGCCAGAATCATTTCCGCCGCGCCCGATAAAGTATCAAAAAACAATACACAATGGATACTGTTAATTGTTGTGATGAAAGGGCTTATTTCTTATCGCATACTTCATAAGTCCTTTTTACGAGCCATTTTGTTCAACTTTAGTCTTAATTCGATTTCTATTTTTATTAACACCAGGTAACTCATGTCACAGACTCGTTACGATCAACTAACAAACCCAGGAGTTCATTTTTTATATATCGCATTCAAGGAACTCTGATCAAGTAATGCAGTAACGGTTGTGATTTATGCAATATTTGATGATGGTTATTGTGTTTTTTCTTTTATCACTAGGTATAGAGGTACTGACATTAACCGCCCCCCCTAACATAATCTAACATAACCCCCCCACTCGATAGGGTATTATGAAGGGTATCACAATTGTTACAACAAAAGTGACGTTCCTAAACGTTTTGCTATTTTATTGGTAGGTGTTGCTTGAATATCTATTTAGATAAAATTGATTGCAAAGTTACTGACGAAGATCGCGAAATTAACTGATCAAAATTTGTTATTATTTCTACTTAGGATTATAATTGACATTCATTTCATTAATATACAATCTTTTTTATATCATTCTACTCTATCCTTATAAAACTATTAATAAAGAGGAGCGTTTGATATTAATGGAGAGGTGTTGGGTCAAAACGGATTTGGTAGTCGGTTTCTCAAATTTGTT